GGGACGAACCGCCCGCCGTCCGCAAGCAGATATTCACCAGCGCCTACAGCCGCAAGGCCTCCCGTACCCGCTTTCCACGCGGCTACCACACCTCCCACTGTTCTGCCGCACTTGCCTAGAACGTCTAGTCCGTTGGCTCATTTTGAGGTCTCGCATGAGGCGGCTGCGACTAATGGGGATCACTATCAACCTGACCGTAGGTCTAGCTACAGCCTTGAGCCAAGGAGAGTTCCATCACTGCCTACGACTCGCGAGGTTGAGGAGGAGGACGATTCGAAGACTTCGTATGCAGCCCAGCCTGCAAATGGTGTGCCTGCTGAGTCCCGCTACAGCCCGGCGCCGCCAATGGTCGCGCGGCAGACACCGCCGCCATCATCACATGGCCCCCCTTTGCACTCGACTTTGTCACCTTCCAAGAGGTCCACGTCTAACTACCTGCCACAAGCCGCCCTTCATGATTCACCCCCCGACAACAGATATGCTCCGCCACCGAGGTCCCAGACCCAGTCGCCAGGATCCTCCCAAGGAGCACGCCCGCCGTCCCAGCCTGTGCCTCGGCCGACTTCGGTCCATAGCCCAACATCCCCTCGAGCAACTAGGAGTTTCCAACCTGGCAATGCCCCTGTCTCTCGGCCCCGGGGTCCCTCACAAACCTTCAACTGGGTTGCGCCAACTGACGGTCGCGAAAATGATTCTCTGCAAAGATGGAAAGGCGCACCAATCATCTCATGGGGTGTTGGCGGAACTATGGTAACTTCTTTCCCCAAGAATGTGCCGCGCTATGGTATGGGGCAAACCGCCCCCATGATCATTCGCAGCCCAGGAGAGGTATACGTTAAGCATATCAAGGACACTCAGCCGCTCGAAGAGAGGCTGGCAAAGTTCCCTGGGCCGCTGCGTGGAAAGTCAAAGAAGAAGGAAACAATCGCTTGGTTGAGCTCAGGCATAGACACACTGGAAAAGGAACTACCTGAAGTTTCTTTCCAACCTCAGCTTTCTCACGAGCATAAGCGTGCGATTGAGCGACTGCTGCTCTGGAAGATCTTGAGGGTTTTCGTCGAGCATGACGGCGTCTTGGAAGGCACCACCGCCGTGGACAAGGCCGTGCGAGATGTCTTGGCCCCCGGCGTCGATGCCAACGCCAACGAGGGTACGCTTGGCTATGGTGCTGGTCTAGGCGCCGACGCTCTCCAAGAATCATCTTCAACTCAGATGAAAGCAGAAGTGGTGGACTCATCTACCATGGATCAAATCCGGAAGCATCTCCTGGTTGGCGATCGCGAAAAAGCGGTATGGGAAGCAGCTGACAAGAGGCTTTGGGGCCATGCCATGTTGATCTCCAACACCGTATCCCCAGATCTTTACAAGCAAGTGGCCCAGGAATTCGTTAGAAAAGAGGTCAACTACCCCGGACACGCCAACGAGTCTATCGCTGCTCTTTACAAAGTTCTCTCGGGTAACTTTGACGATTGTGTTGACGAGCTAGTTCCAGCCCACGCTCGGGCTGGATTCCAGCTTGTCAATACAACCTCGGCCAGTGGTTCGAGCAAGGATGCCACCGAAGGACTCGACAAGTGGCGGGAGACTTTGGGATTAGTCCTGAGCAACCGCAGTACTGATGACATTCGTGCCTTGAATGCACTCGGCAACTTGTTATCTTCCTATGGACGGGCTGAAGCTGCACATATCTGCTTCTTGTTCGCTAGAAAGGCTACAGTCTTTGGAGGCCTTGACGACCCTGCCTCGAACTTTGTCCTCGTTGGTGCTGATCACAAGACTCAAGGAGAGCAATTTGCTAAGGAGACGGAGGCCCTACTATTAAGTGAGGTCTACGAGTACGGCCTGTCACTCGCGGGAGGCCCTACCTTGACTGTCGGTGTGCCACATTTGGCTGCGTACAAGCTCCAGCACGCAATGACTCTGGCTGAATATGGGCTTCGGGACAAGGCCTTGCAATACTGCGAGGCAATCGCCAGCTCCATCAACGCCCAAACCAAGAGGTCGAACTATCACCACCCGATTCTGGAGACTGCTGTAGAGAACTTGCGAACGAGGCTCAGGCAGGCTCCCAAGGAAGAATCCTCGTCCTGGATTTCCAAGCCTAGCATGAACAAGGTTTCGGATACAGTTTGGAGCCGATTTAACAAGTTTGTTGCTGGCGACGAGAACGACAGTTCTGCGGCCGGCGCATCTGGCGAGGGCGGTGCTGAATCTGGACCATTCGCTCGGCTGGCAGGAGGCACTCCCACCATCAGTAGATCACCTTCTGTGACAAACTTCGAGCCTATGTACGGAACCGGTGCGACCAGCCTCCCAGTCGGGTCACCCCCTGCGGCGGTTCCCATCCCTGCTACGAGAGCCGCCTCTCGATATGCGCCAGGCCCGTCCCAAACACCTCTGTCAAGCTCCTACGAACCTGGCGCTGGTTACGCACCCGGCCCGGCTTCAGTCGGCCGCTCATCCAACGAATATTCCCGCAGTCCCTATGAGCCACGAACGTCGATGGACTCCCAACCTGGGTATACCAATGGCGGCTACATGCCTCAGAATGCGACAGCGCCATCTCAAGGTTACACTCCACCTATGTATGGCGGTGGGCAAGACACAGCTGCATCCGCCCAGGTGTTGTCAGGAGCCGTTCAAAACTCTCCTATGCAGTCGCCGACCAAGCCTGCGTACCAAGGATACGAGCCGTATGGCAGCCAAGGACCCCCCGTCCCGTCTGTGGAGGTTCAGAACCAAGAGGCGGCCGAAAATAGCCAGCAGCCGGACAACAACCTGGCCAACCCAGGCTACCAGCCGCCATCTTACGGATACGAGCCTCCGTCAATGTCAAACGACGAGCCTCAATCACAATCTGCAGAGCCCACCGAGGGCGATAGATACGAACCGCCTACGTTCCAGCCGTATGGCTACGAGCCCCCTTCGTACAATCCCGAGCCCGAACAGGATGATGAGGGAGAGTCAAGGCCGAAGCCCAAGAGTTTCATGGATGATGACGACGACGATGATATCCCCGCTCTCAAGGCACTTAAGCCCCAGGAGAAGGGGAAGTCTGAGAAGGACAAGGAGAACGAAGAAATGTTCAAGAAGGCGGCAGAAGAAGACGGTAAGCAAAGCAAAATCTTCCTCGCATGTTGGCAACACTAACACATAATAGCCAAGCGAGCGGCAGCACAGCAACAGTCCAAGAAGGGATGGGGCTTCGGCAGCTGGTTCGGAGGCAAGAAGGAAGCTAGCCCGGATCCTCAGCAGCAGGGCAACAAGCCCGTCAAGGCCAATCTTGGTGAATCCAGCAGCTTCGTGTACGACCCTGACCTGAAGCGCTGGGTGAACAAGAAGGGAGGGGCCGAAGCGACACAGGCAAAGACGGCAACACCACCGCCGCCAAAGGGCGCTCCAAGATCCAACACGGGAACGCCACCTCCGCCACGCACAATGACACCTCCAATGGGCCGCGCAAGTGCCCCTCCTGGAGGGCCGCCTGGTCCGGCACTCGCCCACGCTGCATCCAACGAAAGTCTGGGCGTGCCACCGGGACCACGACCGCCGAGCATGATGCGTTCAGTGTCGAACAACAGCGTTGGAGGACCTCCCAGCGCTCCTCCCAGCCGACCGGCAACAAGTATGAGCAATGCCAGTAGCATCGACGACTTGATCAGCGCGGCTGGTCCCCGAAAGCCGGGTGCGAAGAAGGCGAAGAAGGGCGGGCGGTACGTGGACGTTATGGCCAAGTAAAGATGATACACGAAGATTCCAATTTCGAAATGCACAAGCGAGCGGGGCCGGCATACCTTCGCCAGCATCGATATGTTGTATTATAGAGTTTCACATATTTAAGCATTGTAATAGTTGTGAGGGACCTCGGTGCCAGGAGCGCCCTCTATGCGAAATGGACAACGAATCGTTTTTCTGTTACTTGGCTGCCGCCGAATGTACCTTCACCGTGATCCTGTGAAGATGGTTATCACCAGCCGCTTTCAGAACACAGTACGATTACACATGTGGTTTCGTAGGGTTGGGTCAAAATCGTCGAAATATTTCCAGTCGTCTCGTTAACCTTGTACTGGCGGTCTTGCATCTAATCTCCTCCAGTGACATATCGAGAACTCACCTTATCTGAAGTCGCATAGGCACCATCTCGAGTAAGGTAAGATGGGGTAGGTATCCGTACCTACCTTTGCTACGGTAAGAAAAGGTACGGGATTAACGGGTCTTGCAAGTTGCGGGTGGCAGGTGCAAGAGATGCAGGGTCCTGTACCTTAAGGATCCAGGCACGCCAGGGTGCAAGGATGACGATAAGAGGGTCTTATCAATAGACCATGTGATTGGCCGAGGGGCAAAAGACGGTAAGTCGGCGGCAGCCTGGAAGCCCCAAACCTTCACTTCAGGTTCCCGCCCCGGTCTATGGGTGCCCGCCGCTTGCCCTGTTCAGGTACAAACACAGCACTGTAACAACGGCGCTTCCACCTGAAGGGAACCCAAAATTGGTGACATCGAAACGGACCTGAGCTGATGCCCTGACGTTTTCTCTTTCCTCGACCCTTTTGTTCTTCTGGAATGTCACCAGTAGGCTTGAGCTTACTTCAGGTGCTCGGGACATTTTGAAGGCCAATCGTTGAAGCCTGCACTTCATTGCCCTCTTTTGGTGTGCTTGTTGCATGAGCGAAACGTGCGTCTCAGCCTTTCTTACCTCTCTTCAACGTCAACCGACGGACCGACCTCACCTTCTGAGATACCCGTCATCGCCACCACTTGCTGCCTACTTACGTACCGACCCAACGACCTCACCTCTCCCACCTCCCACCTCGCCTCCCACCTCGCCCCTACATAATTCCTCCTGTCACGCCACACTCTCTACCTTTCGATTCCTCGGATTCTTAAGTTTTCTGCGCTTTTTGTCTGGTCACCCCTCTTAAGCCCTGACGAACACCCAAAGTACTCGACGTACTCGACAATGATCGCATGCGCGTCGTGATAATCCCGACCAGCACCTTACGATGGACTATTCGCGGCTGAAAGCTGCCGCTTTGCAAGGCGGCGAGGAGGAGGAGGCCGTCACCGTCGACACCAGAGCCTTGATCGACAAGGTTCTTGCCAGATACTCGGGCGAATGGACCACGTTGCGGGAGCTGATTCAGAATGCCGCCGACGCCCAAGCAACAACCGTCAAGGTCAAGTGGGAAACGCTGCCCTCGACTTCAGTTCCGCTCCCCGCCACCACAAACCGATCCGAACTTCTGAAGCATGTTATCGCGAACCACACACTGCGTCGACTCGTTGTGGCGAACGATGGCCAACCCTTTACCAAGACCGACTGGGGAAGATTAAAGAGGATCGCAGAGGGAAACCCCGATGAAACAAAGATTGGTGCCTTTGGTGTCGGCTTCTACAGCGTCTTTGCCGACTGCGAAGAGCCCTTTGTGAGCTCTGGCAATGAGGCCATGGCATTCTACTGGAAAGGGAATGCACTTTTCACCAAGAAGTCCACTCTCCCCGAAGAACAGAGCAGCGGCGACACCACCTTTGTCCTCGACTACCGGAATAGTACCACTCCTCTACCGAACCTATTGTCTGTCAGTCAGTTTCTCGCAACCAGTTTGACATTTGTCGCCCTGCAGCATGTCGAGTTCTGGATCGACGACTACAAGATCCTAGATCTTCACAAGAAGACCTCGCCTAGTCTCGACGTACCCATTCCGAGAGATATTGAGACGCGGACGCGAGAGGGTCTGATGCAAGTCAAATCAGTGGAGCGAACCAGCACTCAGATCGATGCCGCTGTTATGAGTGCCGCTGGCTGGAAGCCAAAGGCTGTCGCGGCAGCCAAGTCGGCCGACACATATGGTGCTGGATCCGAAGTGCCTTCACTAAGGAGCTTCTTCTCGAGGTTGACTTCCTCGGCATCGCAGGTCACTGTAAAGGGGAGACAGCAGAGAGAAGAGGCAGCTGCTCAGGAGGAGATTAGTGAGGACGTGACCAAACTCTCTACTTCAACCATCTTCTTGCGAGTGACAACCGCCTGGGTCAAGACCAGCGTATCAACTTCGTTCGCAACGGAATTGGAGCGCGCAACAAAGAAACCACCACCAAAGACCACGAAGCTAGCCATTCTCACCTCGTCCTATGATGAGACCATGGCTTCAGAGAGTTCACGCTCCGCCACCATCTCAAAGTCTGTGGACGTGTTTGCTTCAGTTTTGCCCAGCAAGAAGCCCGGGGGCCGCATCTTTATCGGGTTTCCCACAACGCAGACAACCGGTGCCGGCATGCATATCTCGGCGCAATCAGTCATTCCTACGGTTGAGCGTGAGGCTATTGACCTGAATGCACGATGGGTGAGGACATGGAATATCGAGATGCTCCGGGCGGCCGGTATCATGACAAGACTTGCTTTCATTAACGAGATGAGCGACCTCGACTCCAAAGTCAAGAATATGGTTGGAGCTGCGACAAAAATTGGCGCAGAAGATCTCGCCAAGCTTTTACCTGAAGCACTGCACATCCTGAAGACATTCACTTTCGCTGATTCTACACCAAGCGGTCAAGTGTCCCAGATTCTCGAGGAAGCGTTCTGGACAGCCTTCAAGAAGGCTTCTATTGAAATCTTTTCCTCCAGAGGTGTTTTGTCCAGCACGAAGGTCCGACTTGGCTCTGACGAGCTCAGCAAGTTCGTCGATACCATCCCTGTCGTACCTCGAGAGCTCATGGAGAATGCTTTCGTTAGGAAGCTGATGGACTTTGGGCTCATCAGCCCAATCACTGTTGATGACGTACGGACAGAGCTGGAAACCAAGGCAATGAACAAAGAGCAGCTCATCAATTTCATTGCCTGGGCCGGCAAAAAGGCACTTAGCGGAGAACTGGATCCTCCCAGCAAAGCTCGCCTTCTGGATGTAGCGGTTGCCACGGTCACTGAAGATGGCAGCGACCAAGGCGATATCATTGCTCTTGGTTCCATTACCAACTATCAGTTGCCGAACAAGATTCCAGCGAATCTTCCAATTCCTCCGCGCACTATACCTATGGCTTACACCAACCATTGTTCTGCTGCTGAGCTGCAAGCGCTTGGCTGGGAGCCCCTGGAGGTCGTGCCATGGCTGCGTTTTCTGCTAGAGTTGGGGTCAAGCAGGTCTGACGAGTCAAATCTGAAAAAATCCCCAAAGTTTGCCGTTCAGGTTCTTACGGTACTCTCCAAGAACTGGGACAACATCAGCCAAAGTTCCAAGTCAGTGATTATCACTCTGCTTCAGGCTCATACAGTTATGCCGACAAAGACGGGCATGAAGAAGCCAACCGACTCATTCTTCCCCACTGTCAAGCTTTTTGATGATCTGCCCATCATCCAAGGCTGTCAAGGCCTGAAAGACAAGTTTCTTTCGGCAATTGGAGTGCGCAAGACGGTCGACCTTGACACCATCTTTTCGAGATTACTGAGCCCCTCGGCTGAGGGTGCGCAGAGGTGGAGTCACATGGAGCTCATCAAATATCTCGCCTCAGTCAAGGATGACATTCCCGCCGCCGACATGACGAAGCTTAAGGATACTCGTTTCTGTCCGGCAGAAGATAGAGCGAAAGGAATGGAGCCGACCAAGGGCACAACTGAGCTGTACAAGGTCTCGGAGCTTTTCGAGCCAAAGGATACACTTAGAACTCTTCGGCTGCCTGTGTTACAGTGGCCTGGCCCGCCCGGAAGCTATAGAGCCAACAGCCCCGAGGGCCGATTCCTGGCCATCCTAGGCCTGCGACCATACCCTTCTGTGATTGAAATGGTCAACATGATGGCTTCTACGGATGCTGAGCTCAGAACGTCCGCTATGACCTATTTCATTGCAAACCATCACCTCAACGGTTATGGAGCCTTCAATCTCGCCGATAGTCGCAAGGCTTTCTTGCCCATTCAGAAGGGCAGCAAGTTGGTCACGCCTTCGGCTTGCTTCACCAACGAGCGTGCCGCAATCCTGGGTTTCGACATCTTGAAGAAAGATCTTCACGTGCATGCCAACAAGTTTGGGGTGGTTAGAGACCCGCCTATTACGGAGTGTGTGTCTCGTCTGCTGGCCAAGCCACCTCAGGATCAACAAATGGCCATCACTCTCTTTGAGTATTTCGCCCTTCGTAACAGCGATCTTGGAGAAGGCAGCTTATCCAAGCTGCGTGATGCACCCATTGTTCCCGTTACACGACAGGCTCGCGATCCAGGCGAGAAGAGTGGCTCGTATGTCACCCACCTCAGTCCCAAGCGATGCTACCTGGGCACTTCGGCGACATACGGTAACATTTTCGATTTTGTCGACTTCGGGACGAATGCGAACACATTCCTCTTCAAGTGTGGAGCAAAGGAGGAACCAAGCAAGCCAGAGATAGCAAATTTAGCTTGCACCGAACCTGCACGACTTCTCAGCATTCTTCAGAGCCCGGATAAGTACCTCGCTCTTCTGAAGTCTTTAGCAGAGAACATGCCGACGTTGAAGAGAGACAAAGAGCTTATTCGCAAGATGAAAAGTTCTCCCTTCCTACTCGCAGCCAAGGAGATCCCATCGCCGCCATCCAAGGAAAAGCTTATTGAAGTGGACGACGACGATGCTCCTATCAAGCAGTACCAGCTGGCCACTGCGAATCGAATCGTCATCTTGGACGACATCATCAGCTACCGCTTGTTCAAGGACTACCTGATCACTGCGCCCGAAGAGGAAGTGCTGGAGGAATTCTATCATCAGCTTGGCGCTCAGACGTTGAGCTCGCTCGTGGAAGAGGAAGTAAGAATTGGCCCTCACGCGGATAAGCAGGACCGAGCAGCTGCTCTTCGGAAACATGTACTGGAGCGGTCCAAAATCTTCCTTCACGAGTATGCAAACTATCGACGGGACTACATCAAACATGATGCCAAGTGGTTGGAGAAGAGCCTGCGTGTTGAACTCGTTCGGTCGGTCGCACTTCGTCGTTCACTGAGGGGCCACAGCCAATCTCACACGGAAAAGAGATCCGCCGCCAGCGCCCAGTCGGGCTCAAGTTGGATTCTTTACGTCGCAGCTGAGGAGAAGCCTGACATGTATCAGGTTGGTCAGGCTATCTGCCAGCTTCTCCTATCACGGCCAAACCAGCAGGCCTATCTATTTTTCGAGCCTTTCCTTAACCTCGACCTCTACGCCTTGAGAGCCAGAGGATACAATGTCGATCGAATCCTTCGTGCCAAGCAGGCCGAGGCAAGAGTTGCCGAGGAGGAGCGTCGCAAGGCACTGGAGGCTGAACAGAAGCGGATACAAGAGAAAGAGAAAGAATGGAGCCAGCAAGCAAAGGCTGCTGAGGCTGCTCGACAAACCGCAAAGACACCAGATCCGGTTATGCCGGGCTCTTTCGGGAACGACAGCCCCGAAGAGGTTCATCGATCACCCCCTCCACAGCAGTCGCGGAAGAGCAAGGGGCTCTTCTCGAACCTGACTCGTCGGTTTGGCTTCGATGCTAACGAGAACGATGAAGCGCAGGACCAGCTTCAAAAGTTCATGGACAATCCTCCTGAAAGTCGGCCGCAGTCACAAAGCATCACGAACCAACCTAGCAGCAACACAGAGAAGAAACCCGATGATGGCCGTGTGACCAATCCAGCGACCGTGGGGCAGAACTTGCTCAACGCCATCAACTCTACCAGGGCTCATGACTCCAACAGCGTGTTCTCGCCACCGAGCGTCAACGAGGTGAAGGAACAGGCCACTTACTGTGACAGCACGCCCGCGCAGAATATCGTTTTCGCGGCGGAGGCATCGAACAGTATGAAAGTCTTTGTCTCCAAGAACCTGTCCATGGATTCGGCTCAATTTCTCTCGAGGAACCACGGCCCCATCAACGCATTTGCTGGTCTTCTTAGTGAGGTCGGCGGCGTTTACTCTCTTTCACCACGCGTTCTTCACATCTTTTACGACGAGTCAGGCTCAACGATTGCTTTTAATAGCAACGGCAGTGTCTTCTGCAATTTGCGCTTCTTCTTGCAGCTCCATGCGGAGAAGATCCTCAAGACCCAGAGTGGCGAAGCAAAGGCCGAGGCGGCTGTGTGGTGGTGGGTGGTGTTGGCTCACGAGCTTGCGCACAACCTGGTCCAACCTCATAATTCGGACCACAGCTACTATACGTTAGTGATTCCTTGCCCCGAGGATCTCCAAACTTGAGCTAATATATCACAGTGAGTCATTTATTCAGCAGTACTTCGCCAAGATGGTGGTCAAGACGGCGCAGTGGACTCAGCAGACTGCCGTCGCCCGCCCTGCCCTCCCCGCTGCACCCTCGCAGTCTCAACCGCAGATCCAGCCGCCCCCGTCGTACAATGAGAGCAACAGACAGGCGCCAGGCAACTCCCAATACACTTTGTTTGACTAGAAGTCGTTTAGACGGCACAAGGCGCGGGTAACAGCCCGGCATCGCCTTGGTCATTGATTACTTCCCAGACGTAGATCCCTCCTCTCTCGTGCGCTTTATGGCGTAATCGTTTGTATCATGTCAGTTATAGCATTACTGGAGTTTTTGGTAGCACTAGAGGGAATCGATTGGTACATACCGTGCATACATTAGAACATGGATTTATCTCCCCATTCCATTGGCTGGCGGAAGGCAGCCTCGTTTATCATGCGTCCCCCTCACGTGTTGGTGCGGCCCAGTTGGGACCGTCTTGTTAATTGGTAGCCAAGAAGAGGAAGCCCTGGGTTGCTCTTTACTATTCCCCTCAACTTGTCAACTTGTGTCACGGCACCCGAAGTGTTCAAGTCGACTTACCTTCTGAGTTCGTCGCCGAATCGATCTAGGTGAGAATTCAACGTTTTGCCGTGTATTTTTACATCTTTATGGATCAACGTACTGCATTACTGACTGTACAAGCAAAGCCAGTCCTAGTCAACACCATCTGGTTTTAGACCCGGACTTGCGAAGCAGGACAGGTTCTAGGTTCTCTGAGACGAAGAAATCATGAGGCTCATCAATGTTAATACTCTCCAGTTGGAGGAATTCTTTGATGACGAGATACCTCTTTATACAATCCTCTCTCATACTTGGGGAAAAGATGAAGTCACGTTTCAAGATCTCTGCTGGCTTCACGAATATGAGAAAAATATCGAAGCGTTTGCTTCTGTCGAAGCCCTGACGGCGTCGGCCGCGATGAACTCGGCCAAAAAAGCCAAAGATTTACGACAACGGTCCGGATTCCACAAGATTGTCCAGAGCGCACACCTTACAAAAGAACATTTGTTACAATATGTCTGGGTCGACACATGCTGTATAGACAAGAGCAGCAGTGCTGAACTTTCCGAAGCCATCAACTCCATGTTTCGATGGTACCAAGAGGCGCGGATTTGTTTTGTGTTTCTGTCAGATTTCCAGCCATCAGATGTCACGAAACCCTCCGTAAGCTTCGCACAGTGCAGATGGTTTACTAGGGGGTGGACACTGCAAGAGCTCTTGGCCCCAAGACACATGTACTTCTATAACCAGGAGTGGAAGCTCGTGGGAGATAAAGACTCCTTGCGATATGAGATGTCAGAAATCACTGGCATACCGGAGGCTATTTTGGCACATAATCATCCGTTCCAAGATGTCTGCCTGGCACAGAGAATGTCGTGGGCAAGTAGAAGACAGACTTCACGTAAAGAAGATATGGCTTACTGTCTCCTTGGTCTTTTCGACATCAATATGCCCCTTCTTTACGGAGAGGGCGACATGGCGTTCGTACGTCTGCAACTGGAGATCATCAAGGAAACAACTGACCAAAGTCTACTGGCCTCCTGGGGTCTCGGAAATTCTCTCAGCACACGAGGACATTGCTTTGCGACATCACCGGCTGCAATGACGAGAGCCGCTTCATTTTACACTGACAATATCACAGAACGGTCCTCTTCGGAGTTTCGGATGACCAACAGGGGCTTCCGAATCAATCTATCTCTTCTCCTGCTGTCTGAGTTTGAGAGCGGATCGCACAACGCGCCCAACTGCTACTACGCGCTGTTGAATGTTTTTGACGATCAAGATCGCAGGATCTGTCTTCCGCTGTTTTCGAACAACTCTCCTTCGGGCGACGAGTATGTCAGGTCTCCCTCTGGGCCAGTGGCGCTCTCCGAAAGTAGCCTCAATAGCCTGGGAGAGGCCAACTATGAGGAGCTGGTCATCGTGCGAGAGCCTTCATGGGAGCGATCACTGGCCGCAGGCGCCTGGCAAATATCTATCACGAACCCTCCTACGAGATCCCTCCTAGGCGCCCCTCCGATAAACATTGTCGAAACGTTTCCTCCGATGATGTCTTCGAAGCATGAAAAGGGTACATTTACCACTGTCATCACCATGCCACCGCCTGCCAACGTCCCAGGAAGCCCCCATGATAAGCCTTGGCAGTTCTTCTTGCGTTGCACCTATCCAAGTTGCGGCGATCCGTTCCCAGTCGGCGAACGAGATTTTGCTTTGATCTTTGAACTACCTTCGAGCCAAGGGGCCCCTCGGGGACCACTAAAACCGTACGTGATCGATTGGGAAAAGCTCCCTCTCGCGCTACGGAAGGATGATGAGGGCATAAGCCAGGAAGGTCCGTACTCGTCTTTGGCCGAAGCCATCCTCTCTGGCGCCCGCTTCTACGGTCTGGAATACGCTGAAAAGCGAGCCTGGTCCAAAGAGGGCGAGTTCATCGCAGATCGCCGGCCTCTTAGAGCGGCGGCACATTCAAGGCCACATGGTTTGATGTGGTATGATATCATAACGACTGAGTGGCTTCGTCCCAACGGAGACCGACACTTATATGGGAGGGCTACTCCAAGTTCGTTTAATACAACGTAGTGTGGTGCAATCACACTTGAGTGGACTCTATAGATCAAGAAGAATAGAACTCGGAACAATGGAACGATCGAGGTCTAGGGGTCCGTTGAGCAGCTTCTAATGCAGAGATAAAGAGTGATGATAATACTTGGACTGCAGTGAACTTAGTCCAGCTTATCAGCTAGATCTCTTCTCAATGAGCTTCCCTGTCTCTGCCTTACCTTTCCAGCTTTCCGACAACGGCGGTCGCAAAGAGACGAGACAAACAGGGACATGAAGGAGACCTGGTGGGACAAGCATGGTGATGGTTTTCGGAACAGCAGTGCGGGTTACTTAGGCTTTTGGTTTTCTGCCACTGAGTGGCGGTTGCTGGTGCACTGACCACCACTCTGTTTACGCAGCTAGCAGCCAAAATATTTTTTCTTCTCGCCCATTCCCGTACAATTCACTTTTCACCTTTCCAACAATTGTTCCTTTCCCCTTTCTCTTCTTTTCTTCGCCTTGTTCGAGTTACGAATATTCTTTATTATTCACCCTCCTAGACCCTTAGTGAAACCAAGTGAACGCTGCTCCCAACGGAATACCAGCATCTGCAAACCGCTCTGCTACACCCGCTCACTCTCAGCCTTTTGGTCCTACCTGACGGTTAGTTGACCGGGACGCTCTCAATCGAGCCTAGCTCTACCTACCCCTCAGGACCCTCCTACATAAGGCGTGCTTATGCCTCGGACCTGCAGGAACAAACAACGCTCCTCTTCCATTGCGGCGGTGGTGTAAGGGTAACATATAAGCTTCCCATTTCTTCCATTGGCGTTTGCTTATGCATCGAGTTCGAGTCTCGGTCGCCGCATTTTCGTTTTGCTCGATTTTGCAAACACGCATGCGCTGTAGTCGGGCTGCTTTTTATCTTTTTGTAGTCTACCTCATCTTGAGGTAGTATGAAGTGGTATAGGCGACTTTAACACCTCGACGATAATTCCTATCCGGGTTGACTAGGTAGACAGTGCATGTGCCGTTTTGTAAGTATGGGTGTTAAGATGCCTTTTATGAACTTGAAAATGCCTGCGAAGGAGACAGTGTCTCTTATGAGAACTTGCAGATAGCAAGATCTCCAATATTCCTCAAGCCCAACTCACTGCCAGCAAGACCGGTCAAGCCATGAACCGGGTGACCAAAAGGACAAGAGACACTAAAATCACTCATACGCACAACTATTGCTCGCAGTAAAGAGAATAAGAGCATTAAGTAAAGTAAGCGGGTTAGCAGGCAAGTGGGCAACAAAATCGTTCGCTACCCTATGAACCCTAGCTCTTTTCCTAGCTCTTTGCTACTACTCTTGATTCTATGCTTTTAGAGAGTATTTGCTAGTGGATATATGAAAGATAGGAGCAATAGCAGAAATATAGATGAGAAAAATAAGAAAGTCAAGAACGAGAAAGCTAAGAATGATAAATAGGTCGTAAGTATTGTAATCTTTTGTCGCCCGGCATTCTATTCTGTCACCCACTTGGCGGGCCAGTGTCATATGAAGGGGTATCCCAACCTCGCCCGACCATCCCGAAGATCAGGCAACGGACCTCCGGTGTCTGGGGCCCCACTCCGGTACCGACCGCAACCGGGTATTCGTAACGTGTCGGCGTATCCACGCGCTTCAGAAACTTCTCTGAGCTAGTTGCTCTTTGTCAGCTTCAGATTTTAGATTCGGGAATGTCCCATTTGTTTCTTTCTCCAAATTGAGTTTAAAATACGTCTGCGCCTCCGTCCCGTCAATGTCATACATGGCGAGACATCCGTATCCGGCTTACCCGCCACTGGCTCTCTTCATCTCATCTATTGAAGGTTAGTGTCATGCATATAAAGACACCTGTAGAGTCAATAGAGCAAGTCTCTCGAATCTGAGCAGTGAGTAGATGTGAGAGCCGTGTGTTAACTTGCAAAGGCGGTTTCTGTCTTCCCTATGAAGACTCATCACTCCGCCGGCCTATTCACGCTCACTCAAGGTAGCTAGCCGATGACAATATCTATGAGCAGACATGGCCTCAGAGAATCCAATCTTTAGGGACACGTATGAATTGAGCTCTAGGAGGCCAGCCTGACAGCAACCTAGCGCAGTGCAGGAACGCAAGGACACCCGCCGCAGCACGTATTCGAGAACATCGAACCGGACGTGCAACCACATCCCACGAAGACAAAAGGGTCAGAGCTCAAAGGCGCGAAAGAGCGAGGGCATCTCCTTTCCATGGGCGGTTCGAACACGAATGGCAACCGGCTCACCTTCAGACGAGCCTGGAACGGAATAGCGTCACAGCGGCATATGCTTCCGAAGCTTGCGGTCCGGAACGTAACGCGACGCAGCTCTCATCCTTGCTCTCATGGTAGATAGCTCAGCTGCAGGAGCTCATAAGAAGGAGCTTGCAGCCAGCTAGAACTTTCATTGAGGGATCTGGTTTTGCTTCTCAAGAAGAAATACAAGATCACTACTAAGTACAAATCATGGCACCAACAATCAAGAACGTCGCCCTCGCCGGCGTAAGTATCTCCTCATCTCCCACAATGAATAGTCACTGACACAGTCCAGGCCGGCGGCAACCTAGGCCCTTCCCTCCTGAAGGCCCTCATGGACTCCAAGAAATTCACCATCACAATCCTCACCCGCAAAACCGGCTCCCAAAAGTTCCCCGCGGGCGTCACAGTCAAGGAAGTAGACTACGAGTCCCTCGACTCCCTGACCCAGGCCATCAAGGGCCAAGACGCCCTCATCAACTCGACGAACAGCTTCGACCCCAAAGTAGCAACCCGCGTCGTCGACGCCGCCGTCGCCGCGGGCGTCTACCGCTACATCCCGCCCGACTTCGGCCTGGACCCCGCGCGCGCCCACGTGCCGAGCCTGCCCATCTTCGGCATCAAGGCCCTGACGCACGGCCACATGCAGCAAAAGGCCCAGGAGAACGAAGGCAAGTTCACCTACACCATCGTCACCAACGGACCTTTCCTCGACTGGGGCATCCGGTCCAGCTTCATGGGCGTCGACGTCAAGAACAAGAAGCTCTCGCTCTTCAACGACGGCGAGAACGTCATTCCCTACACGATGCTCGCCGACGTAGGCAAGGCTGTCGTGGGGACCTTGTTGCACCCGGAGGAGACGGCCAACAGAGTCGCGTACATTCAGTCCGCCGTCAAGTCGCAGAAGCAGATGGGCGCCCTCGCTCAGGAGGCCGTGAGCGGTTCGTGGGAGACGACCACCGTCGACGTTGACGCCATCTACGCGAGCTGTATGGAGTCTATCAAGAAGGGTATCATGACGCCCGATGTGATGTACCCACAGCTCTTATATGCGTGCGCCAAAAAGGAGTTGGCCCAGCCGTGGGCAAAGAGCGACAATTCGCTCTTTGGCATTAAGGAAATGAGCGACGATGAACTGAAGGCGCTATACAAGCAAATTGCTTCCGAGTAAGAAGATGCAGTAGCCTGGATATCTAGCGAGATTAGCAAACTACTCAACGTAATGTGATCCCAAGACTTTGCGCTCCCACCACATTCACAGTGCGCCCATGTACATGGCAAGTGATGTTGTATCAGCATTGAATTCTATCTCCTTCATACACAGTACATACGAGAGTTGTTCATCACGGAGGCCATTCATAATGCGCAGCCTCAAGTAAATGCTCTCGTGGGTTGTGGCATCAGCCACTCCGCTTCGGGTATGCCGTTCCAAGCCTCCCAAAAATGCATCCAAGCCGACCAATACACCACCATATTGGCCCTGAATCTTGTGCTCGGGCTGAGCGTAATATACACAGGTCTTTCTATCCGGCCAAGTAGAGAAGTCGAGGTTCAACGAACATGAGCGTGACGGGCGGACCAAAAGGTAGAAGACCTCCAGAGGGGGGTTTGGGAGTATCCGATACTCTGGTTTGTCGGGTCCGTGCTGTCGAGGCGTGAAGTCGTTTGTACTAAGACAGCAGTATAAGAATGAGAACTTGCGAAAGAAAATCAAGTTCGTCGACATCGTTTCTTGTCCTCGCCGGGGAAAAACATCAATTATTGGGTTCGATTAGGAGCGGAGCTTCGGTTCAGACTTGGCTATGCACCAAGCCATCCTCGTGTTTGTCTTCAGGTTTAGAAGGGGATGTTGGGGGTTCCCTGAGCACCCAGAGTCTCCTGCTGCTCCTGGAGCTCCTCACCACCGGCCTCGATGGAGATACCGACACCGATCTTTGCTTGTTGCTAGATAATTTGTTAACATACGAACTGCTCTAATTTCGACATGTTGAACTTACAGAAAAGTGGTCAACATCAGCAGCCAGAGTCATCATGACGGGGGCGGCAATGCGCTTCTCCAACAGGCAGCTAAGCTTGCCCTTGGAGTCGACCTGAGCGCGGAAGGTAGACATTCTGAAGTCGTACTTGGCACCAATAGTGGTGACACCCTCCTTCTGGAAACCACCCATGACGCCAGCGGCACCGGGGACGAGCGAGAGAGACAGGTCAACACCAGCCTGAACCTTCTCGGACAGGCGTCTCCAGTAGGAGGTGTTCAGAGCACCCTGAGCCTGGAGCTGAGCGGTGGCAACCCAGTCGTTGGACTTGTAACGGGCGCAGTATGAGGTGGCAGTCTCGGGACCCTGGGTCATGGCCTGGCGCTGCCAAACGGTCTCGAGGCCGAGGGCAAGCTTAGGAGTGACCGACTGGAGGTAGCTACCAATGAAGATACCGGTGACACCGCCATCCAGGCAGGAAGGGTTGAGCATCTTGAGAGAAGCCGTGAAGTCGTCGCCGGTGTATTCGTTCTCGAACTGGAGCATCTCCTGACCAGCGCCAGGGGCGGCCTGGAATTGGGTTCTCGACACAAGCTTATCGGACCATCGGTAGTTGAATCGGGTGGAGAGCTGGCCGTCGTTGTCCATGTTTCCTTGCAAGAAGACCTGGAAAGTCAGTTAGCTAGATTCGTCGCGCTTTACTTCGCAGCGTAATTGTCGACGGACCTTGCTTGTTCCGTACAACGCAGCAAAGGTGTACGGGTTCAAACGCTCGCCCATAGCGAATTGGTGAGAAACCTGGAACAGAGGCGACATGCTGAAGGCCTTGGTCAGGTCGGCGCGAAGGCCGGTGAACATGTAGTTCGTGAGCAAGACATCGCGCTGGACCTCCCTAGTTAGGTTCTCGGTGGTACCGGGATTGGACAAGCCGAGCTTCGCCCTCCGTTCCGAGAAGGAGCTGATGGCATCTGAGAGGGAGTTGGCGACGGGGTTGTTCAGGAGAACATTCTGGATTTGTTCCAAGCTAGACGCCATTGCTGCGATGGTCGGCGCCGGCCTGAGTCGTGCAGAACCGGTTAGAGAAAGAGCAAGAAAAGAAAAAAAAGTCGGAAAGAGAACAACAAGAGACCAGATGATCTGAAACTGTTCGAGATAATACAGCTGCGACTGCCCTGGGGATCGGTTGATGCTCGCGCAATGGGCAGGCAGGGGCGTTTGGGGGGAGAGGATCGTGGAGTCGGAGTCGGGTTGGTGATGATTGGAAAGTCTGAATAAATTTCTTCGCTGATTACAGGCAGAGGTGCTGGTAGAGCACGAGCCACAATGCCACGCTAAATCCAATGGGAACAGCTGGCAGCCACGACTGGTCCAAGTCGCGGTGGATCTTTCTTTTGGAGCTACAGCTCCCGGTCAATGACAGGATACCTCAGTAAGAAATCACGTGATGGCATCCAGCTTTTTGGCAGCGACTTACGTCAGGCCAGCAGGCCCTGTCGGTCCGAAGCTTAACCGGGTTCGACTTGTCGGGTAGTCTCCCCGGGCTAGTCCCAGGATGGACGACAGACCCTTGCCCGCATCCGGTACGTTCCCTTGGCTCTCCATCGCTGAGCCCAACACCTTCTTTTCCCACAGTGTTAGTCTTTGTGCTCCCTGAACTACCACACTACCTAAGCGACTTACTACTAGGCGACGACCTACTTCGACTCACATCTCAGATACCCTCGGCTTCAGATCTCTAAAGTCACGATTTCTGAGGCTTTGCGGATTTCAAAATCCTTTACGCCACTACCGAAACACTTCTTTGGTTGGGGTTCGGCAGCACAGGCCTTCGTATAGTCTCCTTGTAAGAGCCGCGGGCCATACACAAAGTGGCGGCTTAAATCGGAACGGGACAGCTCAGACACCAGTGCCACTTCAACCTCGAATATCTAGCTCACCAAACCCTCTGAAGCAACTCATCTGCGCGATTTTACCTGCTGCAACCAAAATTTGTTGCGCTTGATCGAGAGCAAGATACAACTCGTATAAGCTTCGCAAGGACTGCAAACGACGGCTACTTTTCTCGACTTAACACATTCGAATCTCGAGATTAGACAGTGCGTCACCGTGTCTCCGCTCTTTTCTTCCGCAGCGGCCCCTCTATCCGGTCCAGAGGCCGTAGTTGCCTCAAGCGCAGCCCGCTCCCAGCTCAGACGACGAAGTATCATCCTTGCCTCCGTGGTTGTTTGGAGGTTCCAAGCAAGACTCGGCTCCAACCGTCAAAATGGACACACTACTGTGAGTTCCTTTCTTCTTAGATATCTGCCCATTGTAAAGGAGGGGTCTTCATAACCCCGCCGATTCATATTCCATCCATCATTCTCCTCCTGTGACTGAGGCGAGTGCTTCTGGACACTGCGGGATTACGGTTCGAATTCAGTCAGAAACACAAGTGGCTTTTAGGGAGCCAGGAATCCCGGTAAACCAGATTATCAGCCCGCATGCCAGCTACGCTGGCCAAATCTGGAACGCAATCCATCTCGCCTAAGCCCTCTTGTTGATAATGGCTCGGCCCTGATCCAACCTCCTGATATACAAGTTCCTCTATCTTCGCAATGACAGGTCCAACTTTCAACTGAAAGGAACCTTCAACGCTTGACAAGACAAAGATTGCCATGGCAAAGGCCTATCCTCATATGCTTGTTTGCCCAGTCTATATAAGAATGACTACTGGGAAGAGTTGAAAGGAGTCTTTGGGCCAACTCAGCATACTGGAGCACGAGGACACAAACAAGACCCCAGACACAGAGTCCATCACCTTTGGAGTCACAACTCTGTCACGGGCTGCGATGTCCCCAACAACCTCAACCACATCCAAACAACCCATGCCGGGCTGGACTGTTGCCCATAGATCTAAGCACGGCTGACTATACACGGCTTTCGGCCGTCGACGGCTGGTGGCTATGATATCTTACTTACAAACGAGGCGGGTGTGCCCATCTGTGAATACCTAATTAAGACGCACGACATCATCAGAACTACAAACATGGCGAGTGCCCTTTGCCCCCTCTTTCCACGCCTCTCAAGCTGCTGTTTACTTCTCCTGCTTTCCTCTCTTCCCTCTCTCTACATTGAGCTTCCTCTTTTTCTTCTCTTCTCTGTCAACTTACCCATCACAATATCCATCATCACTACTATTCATACTCACTCTCTACTCTGAGCTTTCTACCTTATTCTTCTTCTGTTTCCTGCCCATCAACCTCCCTATCGAACCATCTATCACTACCTCTGATACTCTCTCGTCACTCGATCAGCCATGGAGAAGGAGAGGGCCGCCATGGACTGGGTTGAGATGCTCGACATCTTTGAGTTCCAGAGAATCTTCTACCGCCCTCGACCGGAACTTGGAGATCTTGGTTTTGACGTGACTCTTCATGACAGTACCGCCGAGATCGCGGCCAACGCGCCGAGATACCGTCGCAAGAGCTCGACCTTCATCGACGGCATTCATGATGTCCCCGAGGATCAGGACATGGCGCCGGCTCAGCTTTATAGCACAATGTCCGGCCGTCTGTTCCATTCCGGTCGCATCGCCATCGTCATGGTGGGCCTTCCGGCTCGCGGCAAGACGTAAGTTCCTCCTACTTCACTGGCTTGGAAAAACGAGAGCTAACATTTTTCAGTCACATCTGCGTTTCCCTGGCGCGTTACTTGGGCTGGTGAGTCGAAAATGCTTGCTTGAAGCGCCTTGACTGACGTTTTTCTAGGCTGGGAGTCAAGACCCGCATCTTCCACCTCGGTGATTACCGTCGTGCCACCGTTGGAAAGGGCGGTATTGTTCCCGAGGATTACTTCTTCCCTGACGCCTCTCCTCAGTCGGTCATTCTTCGTCAGAAGATCCTTAAGAAGTGCCGTGAGGATATCTACGCCTGGTTGAACCATGAGAATGGACAAGTTGCGATCTACGATGCTGTCAACCCCACCGCGGCTGGTCGCCGTGCCCTGGCTAAGGAACTCGCTAAGCACGATGTCCAGGTAAGATTTGGTTCGGTCACTCTGATGACTCAAATCACTAACCTTCCATAGACGCTGTTCATCGAGTCTTTCGTCGACGACGAGGCCATCTTGCGTGAGAATGCGCGCAATGTCAAGATCTCCTCCCCTGACGTGAGTGCTCGCCCAAATTCGATAGTGACGCGGTACTAAAGTGTACAGT